ACGACAMRRCMAAGCCAGAATAGCTACAAAATTTACTGCCAGCTGTATAAGGTACGTTTCGAGCCACATATTATTATAATAATGCAATTTGAGTTGTCGTGTCTGATGGTACTTTGTCCGACATCATCCCGGACATCACGGAAATTGCATAACTTGAATAGGCCTTAATTAACTAATGCATTAAACTCTGTTTCTGGGATGAGCTAAAAGGATAGTACTCCACACCCAAAACCGAGTACACTGTGTTCCTCGACATTTCTATTGTTCTATTTATCCCATGAAGGCGAAAGCTTTTATTTCAACTGCTGATTCACTGCCTTGATTACTGGTCAATATGTGGTTGCACACCAAGAAACTATGAAAGCTACAATTGTAGCCATGTATTATTGGAAAGACAACTTGGAGAGAGTGCAAAACCCTGAATATTCTGTGTTTGGTAAATTACTATATACTGCACATATAGGGACCTCAAAAAGACATAGGGTCAAAAGCAGATTACGAACTTCTAATTGTCTTTTTCTCATCTAGGTTTTCGTATAGTTAGTTCTACTGTTTTTAAAGCCAAACTTTTTAGTGGCAAATAATAATTTAGAACAACCGGTATTAGCTAAATTTAAAGGAAAGCAAAGTTATGATTTGGTGCCAGGTATATTATAAGTGTCGAGCCGGAGTATAAATACATATTTTCTCGAAACAACGAAACAACACAAGACAATTTAACCTAGTGACATTAAGTTACAGTTTTTCATTGTTTTTCTTTTTCTTTTTTGTGCAAGATTTTGGCTTGGAAGATTTAAAACAAGTCCTGGTGACCATTTTTGCCAGAGAAAGGTGTATTTTGAATCCAGTCGGATGCCATTGTAATGAGTCCTTGTGTGCTGTATATAGAGCATGTCGACAATCAGACCATGAAATTAAAGAGCATTAATCTTGATTAATACCCTGTTAGTATTCCTGTTGCAACGAATATTTTCCTATGTTGATTTCTTTATCTTTGATCAGTTGACTAAATCGTCTCGTTATCAGCACTATGCCTTTCTATCATATTATCAGTTGATTATATATAATAAGCCGTTTGCATTATGACGTAACTTTACTACAACTACCAGAGAGCCTTGCGCATTTTCATTGTTATTCAGATTTTTAATCCCCTTGGAGATTAATAAAACAATTGGCACTAATTGCATTGCAAAAGAAAGTTGGCAAAGCATTCTGGTAGTTGTAGTAAATGACGCCATAATACATATCAACTATTATAAAAAAATTCAGAATCTGCAATGACTGAAAAAGACAAATCCTCGGAGTATACTGACTTCGAGAAAGAACGTCCAACAAGATCGTACATGGAAGATCCAAACATCACGTGGAGAAACGGCAAACCGAACTACATGCAGATCGACAAAATGTACTTGGAAGGAAGAACAAAGAACCATTTTAGTGATTCTTTGGAAAAAACTGTGGAAAACCTGGTGAAAACGTGGGAGATGGAAGCTACCCATAAGCCTAACTACAAGGTATGCTTGTTGTTTTCCCGGGGGGGGACTCCCTAACATCAAAGGGCGGGGGTCCTCGGCGGAAATTATGAAAATGACTCCTAAGAGGGACCTGTGTTTGGAGATGATGGGCGTGGCAGTGCTGAAATTTCACCCCTAAAAGGGACCAATCAATAACAGGTCATTTTGTTTTAGTTGAATGTAGCACCTACCTTTCATGAGGAGATATGACGGCTTAGGGACGTCATATACCCTAAAAGGGACCACAAAACTCAGTTGGGGGATTAGTTGGGGGAAATTCTCGTCATTATAACCCTAAGCGGGACCAAAATACCGATTTCAAACCCTAAATGGGACGCCGAGGACCCCCGCCCTTTGATATTAGGGAGTTCCCCCCCCCGGGGTTGTTTTTGTTGTTGTTGTAGTTGTTTATCCCTTTTGGTTTCTATTTTGGTTGCTAGGTTCAGTCACTTCGATTCTCATGTAGAGTCATTTTTTTAATCATCCGTCTGTGAAACAATTACCACTAGTCAGTGTTTAATAGTAACTATTATAGGGTGTAGCAGGCTACCAAAAGACAAAATCCAAACCGTGTTTGCCTAATCAGTTTGTCGCATGTCATAAGTTAAACTATTGGGATCTAATAGGGGGTAATAGAATTTAATAGTATACAATTCCTATTTCACAGACGGATGAAAATGACTCTCTATTACTTTCATTGAAAATCAATTCATTAACCAACAGGACTGGGAAAGCGTTGATCCAGACGTGTTCGTTCTTAATATGAATAATGTCGCCAAATACGATGGAGAAACACTTTCCAAGGTTGGGTCGTACAACCTACTTCTACGAGAAAACCCACTGTATGATCCCAGCGGGGAGGAAACCTTTGAATCGTCTCACAAGCTCTTCAGGGGTGCATTCAAGGAGGGCTTTGCTTGGGAACTTCTGGAAACCTTTACCGGTTAGTCTATCAGTTCTATGCAGGGAAACCTTTTTTTTTTCAGCCAATGAAGGGATAAACTAAGTGGCCGTATTAGTGATGAYGGGTTAATTCCCTGTGATCTAAGATTTTGACCGTTGTAAGGGAGTGGTCGGATTAAGCAGGCGTTCTACTGTCTTTTAATCACATCTATAGAAAGCTCTTTCCTTTTTTCTTTCATTCTTTCCTTTCATCGTTTTCTTTAAACTTTTTTCTTTTTCTGTTCTCTGATATCATTGTTCTTTTCCTCTCTTCACATTTATTCTTTCATTCATCTTCTTTTCTTTTTACATAATTACATTTCTTTGTGTGTTTTCAGGACCACCACGTGTAGTATTTTCCTGGCGTCATTGGGGGAAATGGACTGGTGCCTACCGAGRCCACGSTCCTACYGGAGAAATTCTCACATTGTACGGAATCGGGATCGCTGTGGTGAATGATCAGTTGAAGCTTACATCTATTGATTTGTATCTTGATTCTAATCCAATCATCGCAAAACTTGAAGGCAAGGACAAAACAAGTGTATCAAATCTAGCAAGTTGTCCTTTCCATAACCAAATGAAAAGCTAAACAACACAGTATACACTGTCACACAGCCGTCATACTATGCATAGCCTACGAAGCCAGGCGTTTCTAGCCCATCCGACGAGTTTAAGGCTGAAGAAAGCTTTCTCAGGCCCTATACTCAGTATACTAACTCGGTTCCTCGGTTCGGCTAGGAAGGCCTGGCTATTCATGCTTCACACGACTTCGTCTCTTTGACTTTTGTAACTAATAAAACAAGTCAAGTTCTGAATTTGGAATTTGGCAGTATGTTGGGCTAAGTTTTCAATAAAGATAAAAGTTTTCGCCATAAGACAATCAATTTGACTTTCATTTATTTTTTATTTTCATTTTTTACATTTTTTGTTTTCAAGTTATGAATGAAAACGTGAACTGAATAAGAAAACAAACCAACTCATTCCTTGTGCCACACAAGCGCGAATATAAACTGTGATGTAAGATCATGGAATATAAGTTAATTGTTGATAAGAATTATGGGAGTTTTCTTTGTTATCAGCCTTGACGACCAACCTCGGAATATGGTTCGCTCGCTCTTTCTCATGTGAAGATTTTAGAATTACACTCGTATGCCGAGGATGATGTGACTGATATACGACTAAGCACCATTATAATCTCAAAATGTTCTCTCTTTTTTCCGTCCCAAATTATAATCATATAATTTTTAGATTTGGATCGAATAATAAATACACCAGCTCTTATTTACAATTCACCGTGGTGTAAGCTCTTATATACATCTATACAGGATGTTTTGATTGCTCTATGCAGTGATATGTACTGTGCATTGCATTATAAAGCCCGTCACACCCTCAATGTTTCTAAACAGAATTGTGCTAAGTTGCGAAAATGAATCTATGTCACTTAAGAATAATAATAACGCAGAAAAATGAAATTGCCCCATAACAAAGAGTCCGGTCTGTTTAATTTCTGGATTCCATCGAAGATTTCGGCCAGTATTCTTGGATCTCCAYCATAGTGGATTCACAGTGCACAAAAGTCACAAAACATCGAAGCATATTTTTTTGTATTACAATTAGAAGCATTTGAAGTCGCTAATTTGAATTCCGGATTCCTGAGCTAATTAATATTTTGTTGGATTCCGGATTCTTCGTCATGAGGCGGAAAAACTAATAAATTATTTGTTCCCTTTGAAATATGGGAAAAACCCCACACTTAACAGAAATTCACAAACTTCGACGATAGTGTGGTCATTTAGTGCCGGGGAAAATATACAGAAAAATGTTTGTGGATTTAAGCGTTTAACAACATGGCCGTGATCGTGTCGAAGTATAGCTATTTGTATTAAGATCCCCGAGAGTCGATTCAATAAATACTTCTCATGGCGTAGAACGCCTATAAGTTATCATAAAGTTATTGTTTCCAATCAATTYCCCAGCTAAATAATATACTTAGCACAACACAGGGATTTTTTTCTGCGGAATAAGGAGTTTACGATTTAGAAGCTGATGTACTGGCTGCACTTGGTTCCACACTGTCCTTTATAGACGAARCCGTACTGTCTCCTGCATTTAAAGTCGCGTCTTTGTGCTTTTTTTGATATCGCTTATTTTGAAACCAATTYCTAATTTGCAATTCTGTCATATCAAGGGCTTGAGCGAGTACGTTTCTTTCGTCTCGACTCAAGTAAGAGTTGTTTGAAAAGTAGTTTTCCAAATATTTCAATTGCATTTCGGTGAATTGACTCCGTAATCGTTTCTTCTTTGGCTCTTCGAGAATAGTTCGAGATTCTGTTGTTTCTYCGACGTCCTCGTGTTTTCGTTTACCTGGGGATACTGAAAGATAAAAACATTTGTCAATATTATTAGCAAGATTTTTACAACATGCAGAAAAAGAGGAATTTGTTGATTTGCATAGCAAGGACACGTCATATTCAGAACAATCCCCCATTTCAAATAAAGATTGGAAATCTTTATTAAATAGATATTTTTTTTAAATACTAATTTGCAGCATATTTTACTTTCACTTTCAGGCAGAAGTTTAAGTGTCCC